ATGTGTACGAATTCACTTCAAATTTTCAATGTACACATGTACACGTCATATGGTGTACACAACTTAATTTACACAAGAAACAATTTTTTTCATATGAAAACATATTCTCATATGGAAGCATATAGTCGGAGAGAGGTTTGCACCGTGCGTATGTGAAATTGTTTTCCACAAATCGCGTCCCAGAGATCTGTTCAATATGAAAGCATGTTTCTATGTAAAGAGATTATTGTTGTGTGTACAATTTGGTTGTATACACCATGTGATGTGTACACGTGTATATTGAATGTAAATCAAAAGAATAGTAATTGTTTGTGATAAGTAAGATACCCATAAATGTTTGTGGAGAAGATGAACACACATATGTGATAATAAAATAGATAAAGTCAAATTGAAGATGACATATATAATAATAACTGTACACATTATTTTGTGTGTTTTCCATTTCTAATAATTTTTAACATTTGGTTTTAATTATTTTTAAGCTAATTAATATATATTTTGAGATTTGTTGTTTTAGCCCAAGAAAATGAATTGTGAGATTTATTTTTCTTTCACAAAGAGATAATACAATTGGTAAGTTTGTACAATATTCAAAGAGAAAGTTGTTTATTTTGAAAGTTTAAGAATTAAAATGAAAGCAATTAAAGAAGAAGGACCTTTAGTGCAATTAGAGGAAGGACTAGAATGAACAATTAAAAAAATTATGGGCTAATTCAAGGAGACATTTAAAGAGTTTAAGGTCAGAGACAAAATTATACAAAACATAAAGGACTAAATGTGTAAAAAGCTAAAATGGCCATTGATGCTCTCAAGCTTCTCTAGGCGGAGCAGAAACGCAATAAGCAAGGTCGCCACCTGAAAAGAGGAGTCGGATTCCGACAAGATTTTGTTTCCGGTGGTTCGAATAAGAGCCTTCGCCGGTGTAACCTCGTTATGGTTCTCGTTGGAATAAAGTTTTAGTCAGCTAAGTTGTGGATGCTAAGTTTAGAGAGGATGATGATTCAAATCGAGATAAAACAAACATGGAGGAGATACAAAAAATCAGCTTCCTTGCAATCAACCCTTCGTTTCCAATCTTTATTAATTTGATTTATGTTAACTGAGTAACTCTATAATTGGAAGCAGCTAGTCTTCACCTTGATTTTGGGTTTGAGACGAAGAGAAAAAAAAAAAGATGAAGGGAGAGAAAGATTTAAATTGAAAAATTGAAAACAGTTGACGTGAGTCAGATCAACTATCTTTGGTTAATAATTTTTTTAGCTAGTTTAGTTGGACTTTTTCATGAGGTTTGGTTGGTAAAAGTGTCTCAGCAGACACAAGTAATCTATTGTGTTATTAATAAGTCATAAAGTGACTCTGACGGTAATCCCTTATATATTAAAAGAGAAGCATTTTGCATTAAATGCATTCACATTGCAATTTTAGACAATGCTGACGTGTCGCTTCCAGAATGCTTCTCACAAAAAATATTGCCAAATTCATAAAACAGATTTTCTAAACTTTCCATATTACGTGTCTTGGCATATAAAAGACCAACTACGAAAGAAAGCAAAACCCTTTGAAAGCACTCTTGAACTCGATGCTTTGGTTTCTTCGTTAGTGTCAATTTCACCAGGAACTCGAGATGAAAAAAACCTCAACTTAAGCGGTATAGGAAGCTCGGTGATTGGAGTAGACATAACACTTAACGAGACTACTCGATGAATTAACAGTCAGCGAGGGTGTACAAGCTCGTATGGATGGAATCATGTTTCAGCAACTTGGCCGAGTTTCTTTCGCAGCTCCTATCATTGATCTTCTTAAAGATTACGTCAATAGATGAGAATCCAAGATACCAAAAACTCTTGACATCAGAGTTTTCGTCAACCTTTGAACCGCCATGGTTACAATGACAAATATTCCTTCACTAAGAAAATGGGTTCCAGAGCTCTCTCAACGTCTCCGTGAGAATTGCAAGCTCAAGTAGCAACCAATCTCAACCGTACGACGTCAGATAAGAAGCTAGAGATGATAGAGATGGAGAAATCGTCAAGCAGTTACAGCGAAATCTAAATTGTGATGGAGATCTTGCGACGGGTTCTACGATGCGACTAAGTCAATATGAAAAAAAACAGGTTGCCAAGAGAAATGAATTAAACCCATGTATTTACATATGCAGATGAGCAAACATATCTAAAGCGAAATGAATTTAACGTATTTATTCATGGTTGTGGGCATACAAACGAACCTTCAAGTGGTTGATTCATGTTGACGATGATATTCACGTTAACGTATGTATGCATGGTTTGGATTTAATTTACTTTTTCTTTATAAGTTATATAAAACTTAGACATATTAATAAGTTCATAATAATAGACAATAGGTGTTTAGATTTTTATGTGTTTATATGTTTTCTTTTCATCATTTAGAAAAAACAAATCATTTTTAGATATTACAAAATAATAGGAAAAAAAACGATGGATGCATGTTGTCGACGGGTGAAATTAAGCCAATAACTATAACTATATAATCCTAACCATATTACAAAGTCAAAATGATTTAGTCTAAACCAACATATAAAATTGAATTAGTCTAAACTAATTCGACATATTTATAATTGCCCTTTTGAAATGTATGTTAATAATATTAAAAAAATATTTAATTAATTAAATAGATGACTTTTAGTTGAGTAGGAAGTTTATATAAGCTACCAAATCATATTCAAACAGAAAATGTAGATAGAAAATATTAAATGTAGTCGGTTAGGTAAGGTAATACAAAGCCTACCTAGGAATTTTTACTTTAGACTAAAGATTTTAAACCTTGCGTATAAAGTTTAATAATTAGTTTTGTTACCTTATATGTGCTGTCAATATTTATATTATCAACATATTCTCTTTTAGTTTGTGATATTGGAAAGTTATATTAATGCAATATATCGAATATTTATTACATGGAACTATCAATACTAAAACAAGATTAGTATTTAAAGTCTTTGTCTATGATCAATAGAGCACACATACCCGAATAAACTCAAAACTCTTCTCTCTTTTGTTTCAATGGCATCATTAACCCATCTTCTGCACTTAAACCTTTCAAATCGATGTGGAAATCAAGATTAAGGTAATCCAACTTTATAAGCAGTTCTCAGCCGCATGTGGTCTCACTGTTAATGATCCTCATCGATGCAAATGTAAGTAACCTTATTAGTGACCTACGCCACTGTAAGCATATAAACAAATGAATACAATGATACATGACATGGTATAATATGAATATTTTCTAACTTTAGTTCTATATGCGACAAATATCTAACATTAATTTAATTTGTTGACTCATTCTTAAATAGGGTGATAAGATTCACGCAAGTTTAGAAAACGATTTGGTGAAGATTTGGTGAACCAGTTTAATCTTTTCCTCGCTAGATGCAGATTTACAAATGTCAAACTTCTCTTTGATTCGGGCGAAACATCTTTACAAGATAAACATCATATCAACAACCGCATGAGAAACTCTGAATATTTACCAAGAGCAACGCAACCAGTCAATTACAGAACCATTCTAGATGGAACTTCAGTTTGGATTACTTGATTGGTAAATAACTAAATTCTTAAATAATCTATGTCAACTACCAGGGTTCCCAAAGTTTTGTATTTTAATCTTACAGATGTAATCTGATATATCGTGGAGGTGACACATCTTGAAGTTGTGTAGTCAATGGGAAAGAAACAAACAAAATTTGGATTGAATTGTGCAATATTTAGTACAATTAGTTTGCTTAGTTATCTTAGAGCTTTATATACTTAGAAAGAGCTTAGGGATGTCGACTCCCATTGGTGTTATGGAGTAAGTTTGCTTCAGATGTTAAAAAAGCT